CCCTGGACTTTTATGTCACTTCCTGTCTCCCGTGGTGTTTGTAGTCCGTTTGTTCATTGGTTCCCCTTGATTAGTCTCCCCAGGTGTGTCTTATCTTGTTAAGCTTGTTAGCCCCCTGTGTGTAAATATAGCCCTAGTTTTTCTTTAGTTCCTTGTGAGTTGTTGAATGTAATGGTTGTCTGTTTGCAAGTCATTCTGTTCTTTGGTTTTTTGCTTTATTGTTTGTTCTAGTTTTTCCACAGTGTTGCCAATTTAGCTACTTTGTAGCTAGATTTAGCGACTTCCCTGCCCCTTTTGAGACTTTTTTTCAAAAGTTTAGGGACAAATATAGCAACTTCTCAAAGGTATCTGTACTTTTACTCAAGTATGGTTTTTAGGTACTCTTTACACCTCTGATTTTAAACAACTGTTACAGAAACCATTTTGCATTTATTCCTGTTTACATAAATGCATGTACAAGTATTTTTTAAAGAATGTGAAATGTTATGTGAATCACACCAGTGACCGATTTTAGATGTGTGAATGTATAACCAGCAAACATAACCTCATTCAGATGTGTTCTAACGCACTAAATGCTGGAATGGTAGTCTCATTTTTATGCATAGTCTTATAAATGCTGTTTTCTTTTTGCACTCCCGTGCCTCACTTAGTTTCAAAGCACATGTATAGGTTTTAATGTTGTTTTATCTGTAGTGTATATTTTGTATTTGTCTTTTTTTTTTTTTAAGAATTGTCAGAATTTATCAATAAATTTGTCTCTCGTCCATGTCTGCCTATGATTTGCTGTGTATATGTGGCCTTGTTTTCTAAATGAAGACAGACAGCGGGTAGAACATGACTAAAGTCCACAAGGCAACTTTTTAACTAGCCAAATCATAAAATTGATTTGCAGTTGTTTGACACACACACACACCATTTACAGTTCATTGTCCTTTTTTAAATTACTGTTCACTGAAAAGACAGGCTACATGGGTCAAAAATAAAAGTTTGTGTAGCAATTAATTATTTTTGTTTTAAGTAACTACTTAAAATTATGCAAAACTAAATCCCACCAGAGCCTGTGTGCCTTGTTGAAATCATAGTAGGTGAAATATAAAAAAAAGGACCTTCAAGATAAAGACTTATTTAAATTGATAAACGTTTTTATAAATATCTGATGGTGTTGACAAAATACAGACAGTTATGCAGTGTATTTTTACACTAAGGTAGTGTATTTTTATTTTAAATTAGCCTCAGGACAATGTAGTGTACATGTTCTGAGAGTTATTTCAGTATTATTTATATACTATTATAGTATTTATTCATATTTTGATTCTATTTGTTTTTAGATTTTCAGTTGTTATTAATTTTAGTTTAAGTTTTAATATTTCCAAAAGGCTGATATTTTTAATATCAGGTTATATTTTAGCGATTTTTAATCATTTTAGTTTTAGTATAAGTAGCCTAGTTAATAACACTGTATGTTATGGTCTGAGAACAGGGAAGTGATCATGTAATGTCATTTTGATGAAATAAAGATGACAAATCAAAAGAAAAAGTACATTTGGCAAGAACCTGACTTGCTTTAAAAAATGTCAAGTAAATAGCCTAGGCCTTCTCTTTAAATAGCAGTAGCTATTGTTTAAAGAGAAGCATTTGTTGGTTGTTAAATTGGATAACTTTAACGGAAGTTTAGAAATGCTGTAGTTACAAAGCAAAAGAAAATGAAGACCTCCAACCTGTGAAAAAATACAATGAGGAATAATGTTCCATATACTAGTTGTTGATGTTTTTTAATTGTTTGATCCAGTTTACTTTAAAAGTATAATTAAGAGTGGTAAAATCTAAGAAGTTCAAACCTCCATTTTCAGTTGTGTTCATAACCACAGATTTCTTAATATAATGGGTTTTATTTTTCCATAAAAAAATTGAAAAGCATATTATCAATAGTCTTGCAAATATTACTGTTGACTGCTAGAGAAAGAGCTGCATATGTGAGCTTTGAGATGCCCTCTGCTTTTGTAACCAATACTCTCCCCCTCAAAGATAAGTCTCTTAGTAACCACTGATTTAACTTTTTCTTCGTCTTATCAATAACAGGGGAGAAGTTTAGCTCACATCTTCTCTCTTCATCCTTTACAATCTTTATACCTAAATATGTGACTTCATTTTTTATAGGGATACCACAAATAGATGGTAAATCGCACTGCTTAAGGGACATTAATTCACACTTATTAATATTCAAATGAAGACCTGAAGCTTTAGAGAATATACGGATAACATTAATAGCTTTGGGTATTTCCCCTGCATCTTTTAAAAAAAGAGTGGTATCATCTGCTAATTGGCTAATGGTGATGATGTTATCTGCAACTGTAATTCCTCTTAAAGTACTCTGTTTAATAGAATCAGCAAGTAGTTGTGAACAGAGTAAGAACAGGTAGGGAGAAATAGGGCATCCCTGTCTGATACCACGATTAAGATTAAATCTGGGTGAGGTGCCAGCACGCAGTTTGATTGAACAGTTACCATTGAAGTATAAAGTTTTAATAGTCTTAATGAAATAATTACCGAAACCAAATTTTTTAAGGGCTGAAAAAATAAAATGATGTTCAACAGTATCAAATGCCTTTTGGAAGTCTAAAAAAAGAATGAAGCTCTTATCTGAATAAAGGTGAGGATAATCACAATGGCCAATCAGAGGCATTCAGATGAGTCATCGCTGAAACTCATCAGTTTTGAGTGCCCTCTATTTATTTATTTTTTTATTGAATCACTCAAATTCAACACTTTACAGTAGCCAGGGGGTGAACACAAAGAAAAAGAGATACAAAATTACAGTGAAATAAAGAGAAAATAAAAAATAAATTACATAAAAACATGGAAATGTTTACATACATTAATACACTTAACAGCTTTCTTGTTTATCAAATTGTAAATTGATTTTAGGTATTGTTTAACTTCTGATTTCAAAATGAGAAACAATGGTTTATAATTGCCGTACTTGCATTTATGTATACTAAACTTTGCCAGCAAAAGTAATAAATTAATCAAATAATATTCCTTATGGAATGACATGTCGTAAGTGAAAAAACTAAATAAAACATTTTCAAAACAAAGTTGAAAGCTGGGCATGATATGATCTCTAACAAATGAGCAGAAATTTGACCAAAAATTGACTGAGTAAGGACAACTCCAAAATAAATGAAAAAACGTTTCTGTATGTAGACCACAAAATGTACATAGTGTATCAAGATCACAGTTAAATCTGTTTACAAGGAAAAAGTTACTGGGGTAATATTTATAAATGAGTTTGAAAGAAATTTCTTTTACTTTATTTGTGATTAAATATTTATGAGGTAATTTCCAGATTTTATGCCATATCAAACCATCAACACAGCTATTCCAGAAAGTTACAATAGGAGGTCTAGAGACAACATCCCTTTGAAAAAGGGCCCGAACCTGTCGATTATTGTGTTTAACAGAGGAAGAAGAAAAACAAACTCGACCAACAGCAGTGTCAACAGGATCAAAAGACTGCAGAGAAGATTGGGGACATGTATTTTTACAAAGCATTTTTAAACCAGAGGGGACAGCATCCATAACTACAGCATATTCTTTAGGAATGATTGGGATTTTAAATTTAGACAAAAATTCAGAATAAGTTAACAGAAGTCCTTCTTGGTTGAAGAGTTGGCTCACCAAAACTATATCATTAGAAAACCAATTTTCAAAAAACAGTGTTTTAGATTTATATAAAATATGCTTATTATTCCATATATAACATCTATTAGGTGAGAAATTATGTTTATAAATTAAATTCCAGGAGAGAAGCATTTGTTTGTGAAAATTGGATAACTTTAACGGAAGTTTAGAAATGTTGTAGTTACAAAGCAAAAGAAAATGAAGACCTCCAACCTGTGAAAAAATACAATGAGGAATAATGTTCCATATACAAGTTGGTTTTTTTTTAAATTGTTTGATCCAATTTATTTTAAAAGTATAATTAAGAGTGGTAAAATCTAAGAAGTTCAAACCTCCATTTTCAGTTGTGTTCATAACCACAGATTTCTTAATATAATGGGTTTTATTTTTCCATAAAAAAATTGAAAAGCATATTATCAATAGTCTTGCAAATATTACTGTTGACTGCTAGAGAAAGAGCTGCATATGTGAGCTTTGAGATGCCCTCTGCTTTTGTAACCAATACTCTCCCCCTCAAAGATAAGTCTCTTAGTATCCACTGATTTCACTTTTTCTTCGTCTTATCAATAACAGGGGAGAAGTTTAGCTCACATCTTCTCTCTTCATCCTTTACAATCTTTATACCTAAATATGTGACTTCATTTTTTATAGGGATACCACAAATAGATGGTAAATCGCACTGCTGAAGAGACATTAATTCACACTTATTAATATTCAAATGAAGACCTGAAGCTTTAGAGAATATACGGATAACATTAATAGATTTGGGTATTTCCCCTGCATCTTTTAAAAAAAGAGTGGTAGCATCTGCTAATTGGCTAATGGTGATGATGTTATCTGCAACTGTACTTCCTCTTAAAGTACTCTGTTTAATAGAATCAGCAAGTAGTTGTGAACAGAGTAAGAACAGGTAGGGAGAAATAGGGCATCCCTGTCTGATACCACGATTAAGATTAAATCTGGGTGAGGTGCCAGCACGCAGTTTGATTGAACAGTTACCATTGAAGTATAAAGTTTTAATAGTCTTAATGAAATAATTACCGAAACCAAATTTTTTAAGGGCTGAAAAAATAAAATGATGTTCAACAGTATCAAATGCCTTTTGGAAGTCTGCCAGCACGCAGTTTGATTGAACAATTGCCATTGAAGTATAAAGTTTTAATAGTCTTATTGAAATAATTACCGAAACCAATTTTTTTAAGGGCTGAAAAAATAAAATGATGTTCGCGCAGCAGCAGGATCCTTGCGTCGAGCGTGTGACGTCATGCAGGTAAGGAGACCGCGCGCTCTCTGTAAGGCGTGTCCTTCTCCTTCTTTTATAGATCGACCAAAAACATTTCAGTGAGAGGAACAGCAGAGCTCATACGACGCTCCAAGAGACAGACTTCTTTGACTTTGGGAAGTACCGAGAAGTTTGAAAAACACGAATTATGGCTGTCTCTGCAAGTTTTAGCATCTTGTTCATTTTCGCGTGTGTAGAACTGATTTTTGCTTCGGCGGAGCCAGGTGAGTCGCTTTAATTCTGCTGTATTTTTCTAACAAATTTTGTAGTTTTGGCTATTTGTTTTTCTAATGAACTGTTGTTTGTAATTCAGTTATTTAGAATGCACAATCAGATTCGCAATCGATGTGTTTTGTTTCAGCTAGAGGCAAAGGACGAGGTTTAATAGGCGTGCAGGATGAAGATTCGGGCAAATTCTTCATTGATCAGATCACTACAGATACACTACAGAGCGGTCTCACAACTATCTTCCTGCCAATTATTTACATAATTGTTTTGGCTGTGGGGTTGCCAACCAACGCGATGGCTATATATGTCTTGCTGTTCAGGTCAAAGAAAATTCACCCTGCTGCCATTTACATGGGCAACCTAGCACTGGCTGACCTGATGTTTGTCATCTGGACGCCTCTCAAGATCGCTTACCATTTAAACGGAAATAACTGGACTTTTGGTGAAGGGATGTGCAAAGTTTTGGTGGGTTTCTTCTACGGCAACATGTACTGCTCCATCCTCTTCATCGCTTGTATGAGCATTCAGCGGTACTGGGTCTGCGCTCACCCACTCACCCAGCAAAGAAAAAACAACAAGTTTGCTATCATCGTATCTGTGTTTATCTGGATCTTCATTTGGGTCAGTACTACACCTTTGTACCTGTACCAGCAAACCGTTGAACTCTCGGACCTCAACATCACCACCTGCCACGACGTCAATCTTGTCAGCATGAAGAACTTTAAATCGGGCAATGTGTTCCTGGATGTTCAGCTGCCTTATTATTATTTTATGGTGATGGCAGGTCTTGGCTTCTTCATCCCATTGTTGGTCATCATTGCAGCTTATATTCTTCTCCTTCGCTCACTTGGGAATTCCACAATCGAGGGCAATGCTGGAAAAACCCGCCAACGAGCTGTGGTTCTCATCGTAACGGTGCTCATAACGTTCTTGGTCTGCTTCATCCCAAGTAACGTGATGTTGGTCGTGCATTACGCTCTCCTACGAAACGGCTGGGCCAATAACGGCTATGGTTTCTACATCATGACACTGTGCCTGGCCAGTCTCAACAGCTGCATGGACCCTTTCATCTACTATTATGTCTCGGATGAGTTCAGGGAGCACGTCAAGAACACGTTACTGTGCCGTAGCAGTCGAACGGTGGAGAGGAGGAAGGTCTCGTTCCACTCAATTAAGTATTCTAAAAGGTCCAACACATATACTTCCAGCACAGGCAACACAGAAAGCAGCAACTGCTGAGAGCAGATGGACATGGACCATGATGGACATGAGTTTATGTATTTATCTGTGGAATATACATAAGATTTGACTTCATATTCATGCTCCGTGTTCTCCATTGGATGATACTGAAACTGTCTTGAGAGTAGATTGAAGTGTTTATGAAGACATTTTGCTTCAGAGACCTTCGTAAACCCCAAAGCTGAAGAAGGAGCCACAAAGAGTTTGAACAGAACAGTCTCTGTTTCTATAGCGTTCAGTCTAAAACTCAGGGTCGTGAAGCCAAAGCAGTCTCATAAAACTTGAAGACAAGCATTCCAGCCAGATCGTTCTGTTGTTACATTTAATATTGTTCAGATGGGCTTTGTGAAATATTGAAAGTGACTTTGCCAGGCTGCAATGGGTAAACAAAAAAAAACAATGCTTTGAAATGTAAGTATGTTTTAATTTCATCTTTCAGCCAGAATTTGTTCTGTTTTTAATATTTTTTCTTTTGTATCAAAACTGATTAGCGATATTTTTGTTTTTGCCTGTTAGTCACAATTACTTGACCACAATTACCTCACTGTGTTATATAGCCATAATTAGGTCACTATTGTTCAGTCTAAAACTCAGGGTCGTGAAGCCAAAGCAGTCTCATAAAACTTGAAGACAAGCATTCCAGCCAGATCGTTCTGTTGTTACATTTAATATTGTTCAGATGGGCTTTGTGAAATATTGAAAGTGACTTTGCCAGGCTGCAATGGGTAAACAAAAAAAAACAATGCTTTGAAATGTAAGTATGTTTTAATTTCATCTTTCAGCCAGAATTTGTTCTGTTTTTAATATTTTTTATTTTGTATCAAAACTGATTAGCGATATTTTTGTTTTTGCCTGTTAGTCACAATGACTTATTATTTTTATACCTCACTGTGTTATATAGCCATAATTAGGTCACTATTGTTGTCTGTGATGCGCATGTTGGAATTATATTTTTCTAAATTCATGCAGATTCATTTTCTAAATTCAACTGTAACTGTATTCAACTGTAATTTCATTATCTCAAAAGTGGTGTTCTAGAGAATTCCCAGTCAGTTCAGTGTGTGTCTGAATCTTCATTCACACCTTGTTTATCAGATGTCACTGTACCTCTTACAAGGAAATGCAGCTGTTAACACAAGTAGCCCACTTTACCCCTAAAAGCACAGTGACTTCTAAATAATAATGTTTTATTTGTTTGAAAGTTTGTTTTTCCGCTGAATTGTTAGTTTCCTATTATAATTGCGTTTTTTGGATCACATGTGGAGTATAAAACATTTTGTATTAGTGAGTCATATGTTGTTTGTGGAAACTATGAAAAACTGTGTCATCAACACAAACCATGAAGCTTAACCTTGTGACGTAAGACTTCATGATGTTATCTTTCGGCTACAAAATGTTAACATTCCTTTGGTTGAACATTTTTAGTAACTTTTGTGGGGACAAAATGTGCCTCATGAAACGAGCAATTGAGCAGAGTGAATTTGTGTAAGATTAAATTGCTTTGGATATAAAAAATCTGCTAAATGTTAATTATTAAATGTAAATGCAAAACTGTTAACACAACGATTTACAAAAATTCATTCTGCTTTTGTTTTAATGAATAGGGCACTTTTAAATGTCTATCCTGTTTTGATTACTAGTATGAGCATGTTTCATATCGAAATATCTTGCTATGTTGACTTGTCTGATTTTGTCAGTGAAACTGCTGTTCTAGTGAATTCACACGGTACTCTATTGATAAGTAAGTGTGACTCTGTCCACTCCAAATGTTTAGCATATCACTCACAATATGGTCTGTGTCTATAGAAACCTTCTAAACCTGTTTAACTAGCTTTAGACCTTTGATTCTTTGAGTCTCTTCAGGTTTGAACACCATTTTTTTATTGAAGAGGGGAAAGTGAGATGTTTATTGGACTTTATTTTTTTTATCTACAAGTCAGATTTCTTAGAAAAGTATAGCACACTTCTGCTCAACAAGCCACGTGAGTTGAATTATTAATTTCTGCAGCACTTAAAAAATACTGTGTATAGAAAACCACTAACTATGAGCAGTATGTCAGCTACTGATAATAAAACGGAGTAACTTGCCTGAATTGACTTCTACTTATAAAAACCTGTTTCTGCCTTAGAAAAAAAAAAAGAAATACTGTTTAAAAGCTTGGGGTTGGTAAGGTTAGTATATTAAGATGAGTACATTTTCAAATGTAATTTATTCCTGTGTTGCAAAGCTGAATTTTCAGCATCATTACTCCAGTCCTCAGTGTCACATGATCCATCAGAAATTATTCTAATATGCTGATTTGCTGCTCAAGAAACATTTCCTTATTAACAATAGGCCTATTGAAAACAGCTGTACTGCTTAGTATTTTTGTGGAAAACATGATTTTTCAAGATTCTTTGATGAATAAAAATTTCAAAGGAACAGAATTAATTTGAAAGAAATATTTTGTAATAGGCCTATTATTGTCTTTACTCTCACTTTTGACCAGTTTAATGTGTCTTTGCTGAATAAAAATATTGTTTTCTTTATTAAAAATTCTTACCCCAAACAATTTAATAGTACTGTATATCTTGCAATGACTTCATATACAGTGGGTGCGGAAAGTATTCAGACCCCCTTAAATTTTTCACTCTTTGTTATATTGCAGCCATTTGCTAAAATCATTTAAGTTAATTTTTTTTCCTCATTAATGTACACACAGCACCCCATATTGACAGAAAAACACAGAATTGTTGACATTTTTGCAGATTTATTAAAAAAGAAAAACTGAAATATCACATGGTCCTAAGTATTCAGACCCTTTGCTCAGTATTTAGCAGAAGCACCCTTTTGATCTAATACAGCCATGAGTCTTTTTGGGAAAGATCCAACAAGTTTTTCACACCTGGATTTGGCGATCCTCTGCCATTCCTCCTTGCAGATCCTCTCCAGTTCTGCCAGGTTGGATGGTAAACGTTGGTGGACAGCCATATTTAGGTCACTCCAGAGATGCTCAATTGGGTTTAAGTCAGGGCTCTGGCTGGGCCATTCAAGAACAGTCACAGAGTTGTTGTGAAGCCACTCCTTCGTTATTTTAGCTGTGTGCTTAGGGTCATTGTCTTGTTGGAAGGTACCTCACTGTGTTATATAGCCATAATTAGGTCACTATTGTTGTCTGTGATGCGCATGTTGGAATTATATTTTTCTAAATTCATGCAGATTCATTTTCTAAATTCAACTGTAACTGTATTCAACTGTAATTTCATTATCTCAAAAGTGGTGTTCTAGAGAATTCCCAGTCAGTTCAGTGTGTGTCTGAATCTTCATTCACACCTTGTTTATCAGATGTCACTGTACCTCTTACAAGGAAATGCAGCTGTTAACACAAGTAGCCCACTTTACCCCTAAAAGCACAGTGACTTCTAAATAATAATGTTTTATTTGTTTGAAAGTTTGTTTTTCCGCTGAATTGTTAGTTTCCTATTATAATTGCGTTTTTTGGATCACATGTGGAGTATAAAACATTTTGTATTAGTGAGTCATATGTTGTTTGTGGAAACTATGAAAAACTGTGTCATCAACACAAACCATGAAGCTTAACCTTGTGACGTAAGACTTCATGATGTTATCTTTCGGCTACAAAATGTTAACATTCCTTTGGTTGAACATTTTTAGTAACTTTTGTGGGGACAAAATGTGCCTCATGAAACGAGCAATTGAGCAGAGTGAATTTGTGTAAGATTAAATTGCTTTGGATATAAAAAATCTGCTAAATGTTAATTATTAAATGTAAATGCAAAACTGTTAACACAACGATTTACAAAAATTCATTCTGCTTTTGTTTTAATGAATAGGGCACTTTTAAATGTCTATCCTGTTTTGATTACTAGTATGAGCATGTTTCATATCGAAATATCTTGCTATGTTGACTTGTCTGATTTTGTCAGTGAAACTGCTGTTCTAGTGAATTCACACGGTACTCTATTGATAAGTAAGTGTGACTCTGTCCACTCCAAATGTTTAGCATATCACTCACAATATGGTCTGTGTCTATAGAAACCTTCTAAACCTGTTTAACTAGCTTTAGACCTTTGATTCTTTGAGTCTCTTCAGGTTTGAACACCATTTTTTTATTGAAGAGGGGAAAGTGAGATGTTTATTGGACTTTATTTTTTTTATCTACAAGTCAGATTTCTTAGAAAAGTATAGCACACTTCTGCTCAACAAGCCACGTGAGTTGAATTATTAATTTCTGCAGCACTTAAAAAATACTGTGTATAGAAAACCACTAACTATGAGCAGTATGTCAGCTACTGATAATAAAACGGAGTAACTTGCCTGAATTGACTTCTACTTATAAAAACCTGTTTCTGCCTTAGAAAAAAAAAAAGAAATACTGTTTAAAAGCTTGGGGTTGGTAAGGTTAGTATATTAAGATGAGTACATTTTCAAATGTAATTTATTCCTGTGTTGCAAAGCTGAATTTTCAGCATCATTACTCCAGTCCTCAGTGTCACATGATCCATCAGAAATTATTCTAATATGCTGATTTGCTGCTCAAGAAACATTTCCTTATTAACAATAGGCCTATTGAAAACAGCTGTACTGCTTAGTATTTTTGTGGAAAACATGATTTTTCAAGATTCTTTGATGAATAAAAATTTCAAAGGAACAGAATTAATTTGAAAGAAATATTTTGTAATAGGCCTATTATTGTCTTTACTCTCACTTTTGACCAGTTTAATGTGTCTTTGCTGAATAAAAATATTGTTTTCTTTATTAAAAATTCTTACCCCAAACAATTTAATAGTACTGTATATCTTGCAATGACTTCATATATAACAAATGTGATTTTGTTTTTCTAATTGTGTTAATATATTCCAATGTGACTATTTCTTTATTCAAACTTATCTCACAATCACCGTTTTATTTACCCATAGGTGGAAACAGGCTTCCATATCTTCCAGCCCCTCAGGTAGCATCAGTATCTGAAAGTGTCCATTCATCTCGCTCATTTACATTTCCCATAATGTGTGGGGTCAGATATATGTAGCCTCTGGGCTGGGCTGCGACCATCCTAAGTCTCAAATAAGATACACAAACTCTCTGTCTACCTCTTTTTCTCACGCTGTCTCACTCTCCAATGGTCCAATTTCACACACACAGATTCTCAATCCTTGACTTCACAGTTTCCTGACCGTTTCTAGATGTGTTTGCCTTTTGACGTTGCTATGGATACCGCACTGGTCTTGTTCGTGGCATTTAGGTTGCAGTTTCTCACTGGCATCATTGGAATAATTATTAGATGTGTGATAAGAGGATGCATTTGACAAGTGGGTTTTTGCAGCATACTATGGTGTGGGTGAAGGCGGTAAACTCAGTGACAATGTCATGTTATAGGTTACAT